ATATGGGTCCTAACTACGCCCTCTCCATGCAGGCGACATTTGAGGCACCCCTGGCAATGAGATCAGGATCTATCCTGGTGTATGAGCTGGCTTTGAGGGACCCATACCCTATGGTGGGATGTCTTGCACAACCTTGATGCAGGGAGGAGGGGCTTGGTCCTGCCTCAACTTAATGTGACAGACTTTGCTGATTCCCAGTGGGAGGCCTTACCCTTTCAGAGGAGTGGATGGAGGAAGTGGGGCTGTCATGTAAAAGAAAGAAAAAATAATGATAAAGGTAGTTTACAGCAAGCCCAAGGCCAACCTCAACTTAAATAGTATGGAGCTCAAAGAAATTCCACTAAACTCAGAAACAAGATGAAGTTGTCCACTATCTCCTGACCTATTCAATATAGTTCTTGAAGGCTCAGCTAGAGCAATAACTACAGGCGTCCAAGGGGATACACATAGGAGAAGAAGAAATTCAAGTATCTATTTGCAGAAAATATGATAGTATATATAAGTAACTCTAAAAGTTCCACCAGGGAACTCCTACAGCTGATAAACACTTTCAGTAAAGTAGTTGGATACAAAATCAACTCGCAAAAATCAGTAGCCCTCCTATATACAAATGAAAAATCGACTAAGAAAGAAATCAAGGAAACAACACCCTTCATAAAAGCCTCAAATAATATAAAGTATCTCTGGGTAACTCTAACCAAATACGTGAAAGACTTATATGATAAAAAACTGTAATTGAAGAAGATAATAGACATTGGAATGGTCTCCCATGCTCATGGATCAGTAGAATTCAAGATGGTTATCATACTAAAAGAAATCTACAGATTCAGTGGAATCCCCATCACAAGTTCAACACAATTATTAACAGACCTTCAAAGAACAATTCTCAACTTCATATGGAAACACAAAAAATCCCAGGGTAGCTAAAATAATTCTGAACAATAAAAAAAAAAAACTGCAGGAGGTATCACTACTCCCAATTTCAAGTTGTACTACAAAGCTGCAGTAATAAAAACAACAAGATAATACGACAGACTTGCTGATCAATGAAATTACATTGATGGCCCCATCATAAACCCACACTTATGGACATGTTATGGTTTTTTGTTTGTTTATTTGGTTTTTTGGGGATTTTTTATAAATAAGCCAGAAATAGACATTGGAAAAAAAGATAGCATCTTCAACAAATAATGCTGGTCAAGATGGAAGGCTACATGCAGAAGAATCCAAATATACTCTTAGTTATCACACTGCAGAAAATTCAATTCCCAATTAATCAAAGATCTCAACTTAAAATCAGATACACCGGGGGCTTGAGAGATGGCTCAGAGGTTAAGAGCACTGACTGCTCTTCCTGAGGTCCTGAGTTCAATTTCCAGCAGCCACATGGTGGCTCACAGCTATGTATAATGAGGTCTGGTGCCCTCTTCTGGCATGCAAGCATACATGGAAGGAATGTTGTATACATAATAAATAAATCTTTTTTAAAAAACAATCAGATACACTGAACCTGATAGAAGAAAAAGTGAGAAATAACTTGGAAGTCATTGACATCGAAAAAAAAACTTTCTGGGCACCATTAGCACAGGCACAATTAATATATGTAATTTCATGAAACCAAGAAGCTTTTAATACCATCATTCTGACAAATCTCTATCTTTGGGTATCAGAAAAGATTTTTACCAACTCCACATCTAATAGGGAACTAATATCCAAAATACATAAAGTACTCAAAAAACTAGATATCAAGAAAACAACCCAACTAAAAACTGGGTACAGGTCAAAACAGAGAAAACCCAAAAAGCGGAGAAACATTTAAAGAAATATTCAACATCTATAGCCATTGCATAACTGTAAATCAAAACTAATTTGATATTCTATCTTACACTTCTCAAAAAGACTAAAATCAATAGAAGTGACAGCTCATGTTGGAGAAGATGTGGAGTAAAGGGAACACTCACCCATTGCTGGTGGGAGGGCAAACATGTACAGTCACTATGGAAACAGTGTGGCGGTTCCTCTTTTGGGCACATACTCAATGGATGCTGTACACAAGTGCAAAGGATACTTGCTCAACCATGTTTATTGCTGCTCCATTCATAACAGTCAGAAATTCTAAACAACTTAAACATCCATCAACAAAAGAATGGATAAAAGAATTGTGGTACTTTGACAAAATGGAGTATTATTCAATGGTTAAGAAAAAAAAGAAACAATGAAATTCACAGGCAAATGGATGGAACTAGAAAAACAAAAAAACAAAAAACAAAAACTATTCTGAGTGAGTTACCCCAGACCTAGAAAGAGATATCTGATCAGTGCCTTGCTTAGCCATCACTGGAATAGTTTCCTCCTGCAGCACATGGGAACAAATAGACCCACAGCCACATATTACTCAAGAGAATGCGACCTTGGAACACTCAGCCCTAAATGGAATGTTTGCATAAAGTCCCTCCCCCAGAATTGAGAGAACTCCTTTGAAGAGGAGGCAGAAAGAGTATAGAAGCCAGTGAGAATAGAGAATCCCAAGGAAACAAGAGCCTCTAAAATCAACCCGAGGAAAGCTCATATGAGCTCAGAGACTGAAGCAGCAGGTACAGGGCCTGAACAGGTCTGCACTAGGTCATCTGTGCATATATTATGGCTTCAGTTCAGTTCCCTCCACCCCAAGATAGGGTTTATTTCGTTGCCTTAGTTGTCTTAGAACTAGCTCTGTAGACCACGCTGGTCTCAAACACACAGAAATCCATCCGCCTCAGCTTCCTGAGTATTGGGATTAAAGGCGTGCACCAAAACCACCCAGTTTTTTTCTTAAAATGCTACTCCTGAGTGTGTGAATGAGTGGGACTATGATTCTTGTGCTTTCTCTTGGGCTCTTTTTCTTCTGTTTTGTCCAATTCAGATGCATTAATTTTTGTTTTATCTTACTTTATTGTTATCTCTTAGACACCTGTTTGTTTTCTAATGAGAGACAAAAGGGGAGTAGATGCAGATGGAAGGGAGAGGGGGGAGGATCTGGAAGAGGGTAGAGGGAGGGGAAACCATAATCAGGATATATTGTGCCTGGGGGAGGGGGATCTATTTTTAATGCAGTTGGGGAAAAAGACAGTAGCAAAAGGTATGTTTTTAGCTACAAACGTTTATGTGCAAAATAGGGGCTGAAAAAAAAGCTATGTGAAGATTATTATATGGAAGAGTCAGTCTGCAAAGGACGATCAGAAGCCCTTTGTAACTGGGACTTTCACTAAGGAACAGAGCACACACAAGGAAAGCACCTGGTATACACATTAGGGAGAGCTTGGCATTCTGCAGATATTTCACAGTGTCATGGACTGCACTGCCTCAGCCTTGGAACTCCCTCTTCGGCTCACCAGTTAACTCTCCCTTTTGGGGATGGCTTTCCTTTCTCAGTAAGCTGTCTAGATTCTGTTTCTAACCATGTGTTTCTAGTGCAGTCCTCCGCTCTAGGAAACAAGATCCTGGAATTGAGTCTCTTCTGAACTCGGATTCAAATCTCAGCATTTAACAAGTATGCTTTCCTTGACACCGTGGGCTTCCTCAATGTTTCTCTGATCTCCATGTCAAATTAAAAGGCATGATTTTTTTTTTTTTGTCCTTTTTACTAGGTCACGACAAATGCCTTAGTAATGGAAGCTTGCCTGATCTGTTGGGTTTTCTTTTCCCCTCAAACTCTATTAAATTGTCCTCTGGTATCCTTCTAAGTCCATCTTTATTTTTTAAATTAAAGAGACCAAAGAGCCAAAAAGAAGTAACCTCAGCTTCCAGGGAGACACATTGAGAACCCAGAGGCACGTGAAATAAAGAATTCAACTTAATGATGCAAATGCAAGGTCTTAGGAAAAGAACAAGTCAGATCCAAAAGCAAAGACAGCAAGACATGGAAACGATACAGTGAGAAGTTAATGAAAGGGAAACTCAGGGACAATACAGTCAAACTCTACGTCACAGGTGGCTCTTGTAAGAAAAAAAAAGTAAGACAGGCAAGCTACAAAAATAAGTCATATATTAGAGAAGGTTACAAGACAGTCCAGTGGAGTGCACAGGACCAACTGATAATATCTGAACACAACTGAAACAGAGAAAGAAAAGAAAAACTAAGTAGTTAAACTCTGAGTCAATACAACATGCTAAAATTAAATCAAGAGGATATAAACAAGTTAAGCATATTAATAATGAACAATGAGGCTGGAAAATACATAGCAAAACCTCCCAACTCACAATTCCTTCTGCTTATTCAAAACTAGAGAAAAGAAACGACATTTTTTTCTGGTACATTTAAGTTATTTCCTTCCATCTCATGCTTTTTTTCCTCCACAGTCAGTAATGCTGGAAACATTTTCCAAAAATTTTACTTTTGCTTAGACAATTAACAATTTCGCCAAATTAACGGGTGAAAACAAACAATTGTGAAACAAACTGAAATTTTCCTCTTCCTTGAAAGCCTGGGCATTTTCTCCCACTCTCAGCCAGAGAGAGCAAACAAATCCTTCTGCATTAACAAACAGCAAAAACCAGGATGCGGGACAGGGTTAAAGTTTAGAGAGATAAAAGGTTTGCCTAGAATGAGCAAGACCTGAGGTTCAACGCCCAATACTTTTAAAAGGGTAACAGCGCTGTCACTAAAGTCCCTTCCCAGCAGTCTGAATTCCAGAGAGCATCAGCACCAACTCGCCAGTGGTGCAGTGTTTGGAGAGGCGCGGTCTCACCAGGGAGCACTGGGGACTGGAAGACGCAGCTTCAGTAGGGCAGGCAGGGCAGGGGAGGGCCGGACCGAGGGACCTCATCCCAGGCTCCCCGCTGCCTGCTGCACACTCAATTAAAACGCACACGGGTTTGAGGGCGGTGATGACAGACTCCCACCTCGGACTCTGCAGCACAGCGCCAGGGGAACGTCAGGGCGGCGGCGCTACCTTGTGACAAAGCCTCTGCAGTGTCACAAAACCGTCAAGCACGACTCCAGGAGTCCAGGGTAAACTCACCATTTCCTGCTTTTGGGCGTGAGCAGGTGTCCTTTCTAAAGGGCCTGCAGAGTAGCAGAAGGCGCCATCGCCCAAGACAATCCACCACTGGCCTCCCTGCAGCTACACAGGACTCAAACAGGGCGGCAATGGCGACACCCTCTGACTGTCCGTGCTCTTCATTGGACAGATCGTGCAAGAGAGTAACAGCGTCTGTGATTCGTGAATGATAGCGACCCGCCTCCTTAAATCGGACAGCACATCGGTTTTTTTTCCTGTTCAAAAGGAGCTCAACTGACCAACCTAACTCTGACTTCTTACCCCTGGAGTAAACCCGGAGTATACATTCTATTTAAAGAGACTGTGTTCCGAGAATTTTTGCACATGCACTTGCTTGCTCGTGTACTCAGAGAATTCCTTTTGCCTTTTACACACACACACACACACACACACACACACACTACTTTGTTCTGAATATTCAGGGCTCAATGGCACAAGGACAAAGACAATGCCCCCCTACCGGCAGCTTTAGAGATAGAGGCTTGCCCAACCTTTTAGGTGGGTTCTGGAGATACAAACGCAGGTCCTCATGAAGGATGAACAGACTCTTTTTTTTTTTTTAATCAACCCAGCTCTTCTTTAAGCTTGCAATATTTGTTTTCAGCATGATGCTTTCTGCAGTGTTTGGGTTTTAACACACAGGGAATGCTGAATTCAAGATTTACCTTCAAGTGAAGAATTTCTGTGGTGGTCAAGATTAGAGATGCATTTCATCCAACCCCTGGAATAAGTATTTGTGAATTTGGTGCTTTATTTTGGCTGTGGATGATGTTGTCCCCCTTCTGAATATTAAGATGTTGAGAGTTTTTATGGTAGAGGAAGCAATACAGAGCATGGTGATCTCCTAGAGTTAAAATGTTAGGCGTCTTTGTCTCATCTCTAGGATATGAGCCACTGCCGGAGGAGGTAGAAGGGGGAATCCTCGTGAGCAATTGATGTAAGCTTTTTATGACTATTTTAAAAATATTTATTTAACGTTATTTTATGTGCATTTGGTATAAAGGTGTCAGATTCCCTGGAAATGGAGTTATAGACAGTTGTGAGCTGCGAGGTGGGTGCTGGGAATTGAACCCGGGTCCTCTGGGAGAGCAGTCAGTACTCTTAAACACTGAGTCATCTCTTCAGCCCAGCTTTTTATATCTCTTGAAAACTCTGTGGAATATTACCCCCATGTTGCTATTTGCTCTGTCCATTGAATGATTGTGGGTGTTTTTTTTTTTTTGTGATCCTTGTTGTTGTGTTTTAATTTTTTGGAAGAAAATGGATATATTAAAACAAACGATGTGAGAAAACCCGGTTATTTGCCTCGTCCCAAACTCTTTAAGTTTGCATATCTAGGCTTACAACATGTCTTTGTGCCTGGGTTGACTGAAAAGTTTCCGTATCCCAATATGAAGCCTTTCCACCAACACAGTAATCCAAATCAAGCCGGATTAAGAAAAAGTCTAGGTTTAAGGAGTAAAATGTTCCTGGATGACTTTCCTACCCCAGAGAGGAGATAGAGGGAAGAACTAATGGGCCAAGCAGTGATTTAATCAATATGGTTTCTGTGTGATTATTTCAGTTCTGAGTATCTGGGACAAACAAGTGGCCTCCTTACAACAGAACACAAGATTAGAAAAGATTTTATGTTAGCCTCAATTGAGTACAGTTGAATTAATATAAAGCTCATGCATGCATACAGAATGGTTGAGATGCATACATACTTTTTCCACATATAAAGTAATGCAAGAAATTAAGTTCCAAATATCAGCACACATACATCCTGTATGGAAAGAGAATTTTGGACAAAAGGATAAGGATAGACTCCTGGAGAGTCTGTGCTGTTAAGCTTCTTGATGCAGAGGATGAGGATGTAGAATTAATGTGAATATCTCCATTACTAAATACATTTGCAAGACTGAAGCAATGACTTAGATGGTGTAGGAGGGTCTTCTTTCTATGTGTTGCTTTCATTGGTTAAATAAAGAGACTGCCTTGGCCTTTTGATAGGACAACAGCTTAGATATGTGAAGTAGACAGAACAGAATGCTGGGAGAAAGGAGGCAGAGGCAGAGAGAGCTGCCATGAAGCTGGCAGGTCAGACATGCTGAATCTTTCCTGGTAAGCCACGGCCTCATGGTGGCATACAGATTATTAGAAATGGGTTGAATCAAGATGTGAGAGTTAGCCAGTAAGAGGCTAGAACTAATGAGCTAGGCAGTGTTTAAATGAATACAGTTTTCGTGTAATTATTTCAGATGTAATCTAGCCAGGAGCCGGGAGCAGGATGGGATGAAACAAAGGACCCGCTCCTCCTTACTACACTTAGAAATTTAGAACACTGGCATTGACTCCACTCATCCGCATGATGGTTCACAACCATCTTAGCTCCAGGATTTCCATCACCTTGATATCATGGGCACCAGATACTCACATGGTTGCACATATATACATGTGGGGAAAATGTTCATACACATATAACAAAATAATCTAAGTACATTTGAAGCCAGGTATGGTTACATGCACCTGCACTTATTAGCTTAAGAAACTGAGTCAGGGAGACTGAGTGGACCCCAAGTTTGAAACCAACCTGAACAACATGTTGAAACTATATCTCAATAAAATAACAGAAAGTACATTTGATAAATTTCTATATGTCCTTTTATAACTAATGCCTTCATTTATAATAACTGTGGACTACTGCCTGTCCAGTTTACTTCTTAAAACCAATATAACAAAATTATTTATGTATGAAAGGAGTGTTAGTTGCATGGCTCAATGTGTAAAATTGCCACCAATACTGACAGGCTGAGTCTAATCACCTATACTTATGTGGTGGAAAGAAAGAACTGACTTCTAATTGTCTTCCAACATCTATATGTGTACTATAGCACATGAATGTATGCTTATACACACACACTCAATAAACAAATTTTTTTTAATTATAGATACTTAATGTTGGAAATATGTTGGGGAAAATAGTCAACATTATTTACCAAAAGGAAATTCAAGCCAAAGCTATATTGAGATTCCATTTTATCCTTGTTACAATGGCTATTATTTTAAAATGTAATAATAAGAAATGCTAACTAAGATATAGGGGAAAAGAGCAATTATATGTAGTTAGTGAAAATGTAAAGTAATACAGGCATTTTGCAAATAAAGTAAGGCAGTTGCTCAATAAAAAAATACTCAAAATTAAACCATCCTTCAAACCAGAAATAGTCCTCTTTGTTATGTAAGGGAGAGAATTTAAACATACGTAAGAAATGTATGCACTCGTGTTTATTGTAACACTGTTCAAAAATACCTAAGGTGAGGAATCATCCTTGATCTCATCAACATATAAGCAAATAAAGAGAATATGGTGCATTACTATACTATAAGTATATAGAGAGATATAGACATGTATGCATGCATGCATACATACAATTGTATATATGTAATACAATTGTACTGACTATTATTTGCACATAAAGAAGGGCAAATTCTTTTAAAAATGGATGATACTATGATGTCTCTAAGTGAAATCATCCACACAAAGGCAACTATCATGTTCTTTTATTCATATGTGGAAAATACAATACAGGAACAAAACAACAACAGAATTCCACGACAGTGTTAGAGAGACTGTTACAGAACATGGGATGTCTCGTGGAAGTAAGAAAAGATGACTAAATAAAACAGTAGCTGGAAGGGTAGATGATAACAGCATAATATATCATAATGAAACACATTAATATGTACAATAAATATTGTTAATTTTACTAAATATATTTTGAATGTTTTCTTGTTAGTTTCTTATTTTTGTTCTGTCTGGCCTAGAAGTTGCTAGGGAGATTAAACTGACCTCAAATTTGTTAGAATTCTCCTGCTTCACATCCTCAGGGTTGGAATTATAAGCATGTACCACAATGTGTGGGTAATTTTATTAAATGTTTTAAAGTAGAACTGAAATCCAAACAAAAAAATCTCAGTAGTCTAAGCTTTAAAATCACAAGGCAAAGAAACAAGAACAAGATAATTCTAAGTCAAACATAAGAAAATAATAATTATAAAAGATACCAACAAAAATACATACAGTGTCATCAGAAGAAAATATCAAAAAATCAAGACCTTTTGGTTGAAAAGATACTAAATTGGTGATTTTTAGATGCCAAACTAACAAAAAGGAAAGAAAACATGTAAACTCCAAATTTTTGTTTAATAAAATAAAAAAGAAGGAAGGAGAGAAAGAAAGAAGAAAGATAGTAACCCTATTCAACCCACAGAGATTTTTAAAATGATTACAGAATGTTCTAGTTGCAAAAATTGCATAATCATGAATGTAACTTTTAAGCACAGACATAGGGAATATAAATAAAGAAATACGTATTAAAGATATTAAAATTAAACAATGAAGAAAGTATTTAGGTAAATATTTCTTGCAAGTATAGATTTTTAAATGTTCACAAATAATAACAAATGATGTATACGATACATAAACAATGCGAAGTTCATCTAATCACTCTATTTCCTGTTTGCTCGTAAGCTGATATGACTCAAAGGACTTGAAAAAACTTTGCTTATATCATAGTTTATAACAAATGGTACAAATTACAAAAATCAAAATGTAAGAGGCACAGGTTTAGGTATAAGGAGAGGAACCATGGCTTCTCAATGAGCTGTCCAGAACACACAAACTCCTAGCATGTGTATGTGTTCAGCAAACCAAAATTTTTCTACACTCCATCAATAGTCATGTTCATGTATGCTTCTGTTGTGTTCCCATGATTAATTAGCTAATAGGCTCTTGATGATTAGAATTGCTCAGTCTCCAACCCTTACAGTGGCACAGGATATGTTTTCATATTGTAATTGCAAATAAAAAACATCTTAAAACTTTACAGCTTTGGATTGAGTAGGATGCTTCTTCCACTAAAGGTAATTGCCACCAAATCATCCAAACTGGAACCTACATGTAAGAAGAATGAACTGACCAATGGAACACATACGTGCACGTGTGCACATGTGCTTTCTCTCTCTCTCTCTCTCTCTCTCTCTCTCTCTCTCTCTCTCTCTCTCACACACACACACACACA